GTGTAATCATTGTAATAAGTGTATATATTATTATTAAAAAACAACAAAAGCGCAGGGCGACTGTAACGAACCCCGCCTGTAAACCAAAACCTAAAAAAGGAGATTCTCACAAAAAACGCAACCCTCGTTTTTTTTCTCTCAACGGCGGAAGGATGTTACAACCTAACTAGGTCGAACCTGAAATCCTCGTCAGCATTTTTATGCAGACGTGCAAGTAATCGTTACAAAATTAAGTCACCTACTTTGTAGCACAAAGGAGGTGACACACAAAGCAATTTTTGTTAATCACGCATAAATTCGGTCTACTTAAGAAAGATAAAAAGGTAAGCCTCGAACATCTCGGGGCCGTTCCGAAAAGTGAAGTGAGAGTGCGCGTACTGTGAGAGTCTCCATCTAATCTCTAAACCTCAACATATTGTACAGTACGTAGACTTATAAGTGAATAATAAAAGCTCTTTGTACAACTCGAACGCTGGCCTATAATTATTGGAGGACATCCATCCTTCATACACCGACACCGCACGTCCAAACTGTGGTTCTGCAACGCCCTGAGCGGCACGTAGTGTCTTGAAGATACTGCAGGTAACTAGCTGACCCGTAAATTCTACAAACGGTGCCCTGAGCGGCACCCTTGCACCCGGAGCAGAACAAACTGTTTAAGAGTGGGCAGCTCGGCTCCCGTCAAGGAGGACTGCCACTCACGGGCCGTGCGCGAATCGAGTTTCGAAGTCAAAATGACAATTAATATGTCGTCCCATTTGTCGCATGGTCGCTTCAAGGCTTGAAGCGCATGTAAATGTTTCGCGGCTCCGTCCGCGATTTGTCGTAATTCGATATAATTTTCCTTAGCTAGTGAAGGTAGCTCCATTATGGCTCTAATGTGATTTTGCATGACGACGCGTTGATTATCGTAACGCTCCCTGAGACGCGACCACGCGACTTCGTAATTGGCGTCGGACAGTTCCAACGAACAGATAATGTTACTTGCTTCGCCGATAACCGACGATTTGAGGTACTGCAGTTTTTGTGCGTTACTGAGCGCGGAATTGAGATGTATGACAGAGTTGAACATATCGCGGAATGGGAACCACTCATCGTACTTGCCCGAGAAACTCGGAAGACTTAATTTTGGAAGTCGCACGTGAGATACCGATTCAGGCGCCCCCCGCGAGTCAGCGGTGGACGACGAGACCGCGCCTGACCCGCGTGCTGGCGGCGCTGAAGCGGTTAATTCTCTTATTCTGGCGGCTAAAGAATAGAATGCCTCTTCGAAAGCGATGCGATCGCTGGCCTCGGCATCATCGGCGAGCTCTAATCTGGTTTGTACGGTGTTGTACTCAATCCAGGAATTTTCTAGCTTGCTTTTACGCTCCTCGAGCTGAGCGATTACTAATGCAGAAGGCTGACCTATTGAATCTACGTACGTTTTGACACGCGTGCAGGAAGCTTTGATAAGCCCATGCTGTTTTTTCAGCATAGCGAGGTCCTGAATCGACATGATGACGCGAGCTACGACAAATGGCGGATTACCACGAGCTTGATCGGCAACAGCACCAATGAGCTTGCCTTACCTCGATTATACTCGTTCGCGTATGCGCAAGAACGTCCGAGTCGACTGTTGACTTCCTTGACTGTGATGTCCTGTTGGCAGCGCTGGTCGGTCCGGATGACGCCCGTGGCGCCTTTGCGTACTGAGCCCTTGTCAGATGTCAGCTGCTTGGCGAAGAGGCGTCGTCCCGCCGTCGCCAGGGATGCGTGAGCCTCAAAATGTCCACGGGATAAACTCGGCAAAATGGCCGCTTCCTGACGCTGCCTGCGTTATCGTTGTACCGTGTGACGGCCCTCCTTGCGCACGACTTGACCTCGTGCCCACTGCGAGGGTTTTTTGGTGACCTTCGTGAGGAAATTCCGATATTGGAACTTGTGAATTTCCGGCTGCGTATCGTAGTGATGCCTCGTTGTAAATATGGCGGGCCCTCGTTGCACCTCGTGCCTGAACTGTTTGTACTGCTTGTCGCAAATGCGTTCTTGAGGCGCTGATTCTTCTCCTGATTTTCTGCCGCAACACCGATTGAGATGCTACTGCCGGGAATACGCGTGGATCCGGCTCGAAGGACCAATGTTCGTTAAATGTTCTTGCGCGTGAGCTCACTGCGGACACACGTGCACTTCCACACTGTTCTCGAGGAGATATAGCCAGCGAGATTGTGGTCGAGAAGCCTTGCCTACTTCTCTCTATTTATATCGGTGCACCCTCGGTACGTTTACGGTAGCAGAGCGGAGAAACTCGTAACTGGATAACTTTCGCACGCGAGGCTTTAGCTTGCCTTGATCGCGCGGTCGGTCCTTTGCGTGATCGATGCCCGAAATCCTTACAACGAATGGCGGTCCGGTATGATTACGCGAGGATGCGCACATGCTCACGCGGGGTGCGCGGACGACTACCGCACTACTTTGCTCGCGCGACCAATGGCAACGGCGCGATGACAAGTCAGTGCGCGCAACGTTACCGAATCCGACCAATATCGACGGAATCTCGAACAGCGACAATTTGAGATGTGACGGACAGTGGCCAAGGACACCGAACATGCGCTACAAATTTCGAATCTTTCAGCAAATCCTAGGTGGATGTAGTGCCGTAATGTCCCTAAATACTTAACCTTCTCGGCGGCCGATAATAGGGTGTAACACTCAGGACACTTGTTATCATCAGCTTCCTTATTACGGTATATCAAAGCTGATACGCAGGCGCTAGTTACCCACGCGACGTATAGGTCTATATCAATGAGGCGGCCGGCGGCGGATAGGCGCGAAAATGGATGTACAGGGCACATGCTACATCCACTTATAGCTTCGTTACCGTGAAGTGAGATATAAATTGCACTTACCATACGGTGATTGCCTCGTGAGTCCCAGCAACAGCTCTCCGATTGCACGATCCGTGATACAGCGCGTGCAGGCCGGTCCGGATTCTGGTTGGTCAGGCCCGTCGTTGGTGCGTGGAGATTGGTTCAATGCTGATCGCCGCTCGTTCACACATCCAATTCGCGAATTTAAATAAAGAGTGATCATGCGTGACGGATGCCGGTTACGAAAGGAAGGTTTCGTCGAGAGAAATTGCACGCACGTATTTGTATATGTTCAAAAAGAATAACTTGTATATTTTATAATCACTAAATTACATCAAGTACACGATTAAGCTTATGCTACAACTTAGTATTTAACGCAGTTAAGATTAACAAAATTAAAAAATCTACTTATATAACTAGACGAAGTTACTAATAGAAAATAGAAATGGAAATCTGTTGGACTTGAGTTTGAATTAGAATCACGGTCTGGAAGAGACCTTTTCTTTTGATCGAACCTCGACCTCGGAACTTAAGAACTCGACGACTCTTAGCTAACAACTAACTTACTACTACTAACTCGGTTATCCCGAGGGCGTTTTCGAAAAGATCCCCTTCCACGCTGGTAGGGCGCATGTGGTGGAGAAGGCGTCAGGAGCGGTCCCGGCGGTTTTCGTGCCCTGCCGGTCTATTGAGGTAAAGAAAATTTATGATTAGCCAGGGGATATTTCTGGACAAGTTTTATATGTACCGCGGACGTAACACCTCCCCCCCTAGGAATAAAACATTGGACCGCGTCAAATGTTTTATTGGATAATTACATTATTGTATAAGTAGGTTTACATGGATTCTTAACTTACTATGCTTACTCTATCGCTTCTTTTTACTCAGTCATTCTCATTCTTTTCTGTCGTTCAACAACGCGCGCAATTCACTGAAATGTACAGGTTTTTCACTCGCGTTTTCACTTGATGTTTGCGCGGTGGGAGTGGGGTGTTGAGCTTCTGACGTAGGAAGATTTTTGGGTGGAATCTTCACTGTAGTGAGGAGGAGAGTTTCCTGGTCCTGTTGATTCCTGCCGACGTCTTTTCCATGAGGTTCAGCCAAGTGGAGTAGTAAATGCGTAATGGAGCTCCAAATGGCTCCGAGTAGATGGAGGCTCCATCCATACACCGAGTGGAGCGCATATCCATGAATTATTGTATCCACGATTAATTTTACTAGGTTTTCCTTCGTATAGAACGTCATAATGGCCGAAATGGCAATTATCAGGGGGAATAGTAGACCAAAATGTCTCGCCTCCGTCGGTGTCTAAACAGGTTCCGGACGCAATCTTGCAATGCAGTCCAGAAGGCAGGATAATTTCATCCGAGCTGCGGCGTATCGAGGCTTTGAAAATTCTAAGAGTGATCTTGACTGTCGCCTGCACAACTACGCTATCCCATGTTCCGTATGGGTCGCTATATTGAGTCCCCGAGCAACGACCATCCACGGAAGCATGTCCAGCGAGCGTAATACTTCCGGAAGAGGTGCTATTCGATTTGAGTCCCGCGATGTAGCCATCTCTACCTCCCAGATCTATGGATCCGGTTTCGTGGACCCGTTTACATTTATCGACCGTCATCTCATGGAGATAGGCCCTTCTTCCGCCATGGACTATCGATATGTGAGAGTGCATACCGCAATAAAATATTGTGCAATCCACTTCGACCTTGCACTGGATTACTCGCGTTCTATCAAAGTCAGAGAGCTGTAATAATTGGACGTAAACATCTGTTGTAATCGGTTCGATGTCCTCAACTTCACAATTTCCGATATCCAGGAGTGAGAGCGTCGTAATATTGAGATCTTTGCCTCCGCAGTCGTAGCCTATCAGGCCGCGTGACGACGGCGCAAAGAATAAAAACGCGGCGATGAGAGAGAGAACTTTTTTGTCAATCTTAGCGCGAGTCGAACTAAGAACTGGTGGTCCCATGAGTCACAGGGTACTAGCTGCAGCCGCTGGGTCCAAGGTGGGGGGCATCGTTGTCCAGTAGATGTGCCCCTCGTTTTCCAATGCATGGTGTAATAAAACAAGGTGTAACATTCCCGTGGATGCACAGTAGTATGCGCTTTGACCAATCACATTTGAGTCCAAATGCACCCGCGAAATTTAAATAAACAAATAATTACATATAATTAAAATGTATTTCTATTTAAGATTAAACGTGTTTCTATTTAAGAGTAAATGTATTTCTGTTTAAAAATAATGTAAAAAATATATGGAATTAGTGTTGGTCTAAACAATGGCTAGGCAGGTAAAATATTTCCGTAAAAGCGCAAGTACTTAAAGTCTGAATGCTAAAAACAATGTGATGGCAGATATATTAATTGAGAAGGAAATTGGGACGTGTGTGTGTGTGTGTGTGTGTGTGTGTGTGTGTGTGTGTGTGTGTGTGTGTGTGTGTGTGTGTGTGTGTGTGTGTGTGTGTGTGTTGTGTGGTCACATATGGGATATATACTCGCACAAAGATAACAAGGTAATAAAAATAAATAAATGAGTATTAATAATGATAGTGTTAATAAAGTATGTAATCATCTTAATAAAAGTGTTTAAGTATTTATAATAATATATAATATTGTAGGTTAGGAAATGCTTAAAAGCAAGTAGATTGACAATAAAAACATGCAGATATATTGCCTTATATACATTTTTTATATCCACTTATTAAATATATACATATACATATATATATGGCTTTGGTACATTTCGAGGACATTTTTTGTCACATATGGTATATTTTGAGGACATTTCGTACTTTTGGGGACAGTCCTCATTATTTTTTATGTATATGGTACATTTTGAGGACTGTCCTCGAAATTATAGTTTTATGGATGGTAATGTTTGAGGATATCAAATCCACCGAATGAATGTCCTCAAAATAGACCAAATATATTTAAATTCAGTTTTGTATTTGGTACATTTTGAAGACACAAAAAGTTAAACTTAGTACATCAAAAATAATTAATAAATATTCAAAATCCTATATTGTAGACTCGTGTGAATTAATCATAAAGTATTTAAAACCTTATCAAGTCAATAACACCAGTTGTAAACGTGTGATAAAATCCTCTTTATTACAATGTACGTTTCGATCCTGTTAATCGGATCCTTCTCAACATTCTTTACGTATATATACCAATATCATTGAGTTCCCTAAAACAATGATATCTTAAAACGTATATATAAATTTCTCTGTACTGTTCAAGTCTGATGTCAACGTTCTACTGAAGTAGAACGTTCATGTCTGATGTCAACGTTCTACTGAAGTAGAACGTTGACATCAGACATGAACAGTACAGAGAAATTTATATATACGTTTTAAGATATCATTGTTTTAGGGAACTCAATGATATTGATGTATATACGTAAAGAATGTTGAGAAGAATCCGATTCACAGGATCGAAACGTACATTGTAATAAAGAGGATTTTATCACACGTTTACAACTGGTGTTATTGACTTGATAA